GCGCGATGCGCAAGCTGAATAACCTTTTCTCTTTCTACGGCTTCACGGGTCACGACTGTGAGATGCCCTGTCTTTACCATGCAGAGTTTTATTTAGAGCATTCCCCTTTCATTTTGGCGAAAGAAAATTAGAACGTGGTTCTCATGCCTCTGATCTTTTTGTATATATGAGTATATTTATATGTACATATATGTATGTGTTGGCGCCTTTATGTACTGGCCGGTATGTTGTCTTTTTTTTTGCAAGCCTTTCACTGCACAAGTAACAAATACACACACACACACACGCACATAGTTCCACATTCCGGACATCGCAGACAATGTTCATTGCATGCAACTGTTGTGCCGCCCCTCGCCTCCTCAGCCTTCCCTTGGAATTCGCGTCGTGCCCAGCATTCAGTCAGCCGCATTGCAGCGAATTTTTTTAGTGCCTGGTCAGGGCGCGGTGCACGTGACTGCATGTGCCCCCTTTTCGTCCTTGCATTTGTTGTTGATGCTCCTCGTCGAGCATCGTGGAGCATGTCCTGAGCTTTTTGGCCACAGAATTGTGTGTGTGTGTGTGTGTGTGTGTGTGTGCATCAAATATTGAAAGTTTTACGACTGCCAAAATATTTTGCTGGTAGTGGCCGAACGGAGCCGTCTTATTGGTTTCTTGGCAACAGAAGCGGCCAAATCCTGAGATTTGTTTGTGTTTGGCCCAACAAGCAAAGATTGTGAAGATTACGATTTTTGGCAAGCTCAAGTCCTGCGGGAAATGTCATGCAAGGCGCAGACTGCCAACGGCTGCTATGATAAATGTGGACAGGTTTTATGTCCTTGCAGCAGAGCTCGTTTAAAGGAGAATAGTGAAAGAGATGAAATAGCAGTAGAGGATGCGACTTCCTATGCGATTCTCAGAAATTTTCGTAGTAGATTGTGCAACATTAATTATTGAAGCATTTCATTTCACAAAATACCCAAGTGAAATCCATCCATAAACCTCAGCTCAATCCACTTATTTCTCTGTTTGTTGCATTTCAAAGGCTTCCGCATTTATCCTTGTCGGCCCGTCTGGCTTCCTTAGACATCAAATTTGCTTAATGGCAAATGCATTTTGCGTGCTTGATTTACCATAAACTACAAGAATTTCCATTCTCTTCTTGCTTACTTTCTTCTTCGCCCCTTTCTAATTTACCTGGCAGTTTGTCGCAATGGCATTAATTTCTGCAACTTATGCGGCCACATCGACCGAGCCTCTGAAGCACTACCACACCACCCACCTTGGCCGCCGCCCCCGCCCCCAGCTACCGCCGTCTTTGCTGCAACCCTCTGGCCATAAATTACAGCAAACATTTGCCACAGTTCCGTTTGGATCCCTCGCCCCTCCCCCGTTGCCGGCTGGCCATGTTGCGCATAGAGCATGGAGCATGTCTGCAGTCGAAACTACTTGCAGCTATTTTCGTGCCTTAAATCGGCTTATGGCACTCGTTCTGACTGGCTTATCTGGCCGGCGTTTGGCTAGTGTGTGAGCCAAAGGGTTGCGCCTGCCCCATTGCTTCTAGGGAGTTGCCCAGCTCCATACGCGTTTGCAGAAAATCAATAATATGCCCCCCTGTCCCTCTCCACCCATCTCCGCATTCACTTCCGGGGGCCGGACTGCCGCTGCCTCTATTGTTGTCGTCGTCCTCGTTCATGGCAATAATATTTAAATGGACACTAAGACACCCCCCTCCCCTCTCGGCAGACCATTTACTTCGCGCGCCACTCTGCGCCCTTCTGCAGCTTCTTGAAAACAAACTTTTATGCACGGCCGAGCTGAGGCCCAAATGACACTGGCTGAAAATGCAACAAGAGCACAAAATTGTCCTCTCCACTTGCTAAAAATATCAAATGTGTTATAAATATGATGTAAGAATAATAAAAAATTGACAAATTCCTCAGTTAAGCTTCTCCCCTGCAGCAGCTAATATTCGAGTTAAAGCTCATGTCATTGGGGAAATCCTGCTTTAACAGTCATTTGGCTGGCGCAAAAACAAGCAACCCTCAAAAGCAGCGCAGCTGGAGTAGTAGCAGAGGAGCAGCGCAGGGCAGACCTCAGTCAAACCCTTTCCGCTTGCCCGCAGGTCACCCTGTCTGGCATACCAACTGCATTGCATTGTAATTCCAGTTGCAGACAGCGACGACGGCGGCGTAATGTCTAGTGCTGTCGTTCGCTTAGCGAGGGATGCGAAAAGCGATTTATTTCGCTTTATCAGCAATTTTGATTTTCTTTTGTCTGTTATTGAAAGCTGCATTAAGTTGGACGCGCCAGGCATTTGTCATATCGGTGATTTACTAACCTTACACCAGGCATAATCTCTTGGCCCGGAGCCCGATAGCCGGTGCAATCTGCCCTCTCCCCTCTGCTCTCTGTGGTGGTGCCCTCTCTGCCCTCTGTCGCTGTTAGGGGTGCAAAAAATAGCGCATTGCATGGCTATAGGGGCAACTAACACAAGTGCGGCTCGTTTGGGCCCGTTGTTTACGTATCCCGGCGTCAACGTGAAATTTATTGAGGTAGTTACCATGCGGCTGCAGAAAACAACGAGCCATGCAAATTCCTGCTTTTTCATGTACATACATATATTTTTATGCATTTGTGAAGCCCCAACCACTGTGGGCGGAGCTAGCTGTGTAACGGCAAACACGGCCCGGTTGCCACAGCAAACATGCATTAAAAATGATGTTGAAAGAAAGGACAGAAATGCAAAAAAAAGCGAAAAAAGAAACAAAATGGAAAAAAGTTAAAGTGGAAAAAATTTGCAAATTTGCAAATTGAATGTGCAGAGGTCGTCCAAGTGTTGTGCTTAAGGGTTAGCACGAGTGTTGCGCCATGAATACCGTTACGAATGCCACAACACGTTATGCCAAAGTCCTATACTAATACGGTACAAAAAATGTACTCCTCGTAATCCCATATGCATTACTAGCCACATACACATTATGCCAAGTTGTCATGTTTCTTATGTCACAAAAAGAAGCTACTGGCCAAAGAGGAAATGGGCAGCACCTCTATAAGCTATGCATCTGAGCGCATTTTGCTTTCTCCATTATATTTTCGATATATGCATGTCAAATAATGTATAAGCTGTTAGTGTAGAGTTGCCAGGTTTTTAGTCTTCGAGGCATTTATCGATATTGGCACGAGCCTGAAATGCTTGTCAAGTAGGCTTTGCCTGACTTGACTTTTGCTAGTCTGGCTATATCAAATCAGTTTTTTTCTCAGTTCTGAAAAATTAGACGTGGGCCAAACATTTCGGAATTTTCAAGTGAAAAAAAAAAACTAAATTCCTTTCTGAAAAGCTTCAAAAAGTTAATTTTCATTAAGTAAATTACAAATCGTCTGGAATTTTTTTTTCTTTTTGTTTTGTTTTTGTTGGCAATTGTCTTACTATCATGCTGGTTAATGTTACCCAGCGCGTTGCCGCTGGCACCAGTGTCATCTTGGGCGGTCGAAAATCCAACGGCAATGGCAACGGAACCGCAGCTGCTGTTGCCGCTGCCGCTGCTACTGCCACTACAAACAAAAGCTACGAGATTAAGTCCCAAACTCGGGCCTCAAGTGAGTAACGACAACGAAAATAAAATAATAACAACAACGAAAATGGAACAGCAACGACAGCGACAAACACAATTTTTTTCAATGTCATGCCAAAGAAAGCAAAAAAAATCGGCGATAATGAAACGAAATAGCAATAGCCAAAAGAGAGCTTAACTGTGTGAGAGCTTTGGCGAGCGGAGCAACAAACAAAAAGCAGCGCTGAAAATATTTTTGCAATATACGCAAATGCGAATTATGAGCAAGTCGTACAGGCACTCACACACACGCACTCACACATACACCTAGACGCACTCATACACGAGCACACTTGCTCGCGCATACATAGATCGCATTCACTCCCCCCCATTCGTCACCGCAAAACCACGCTCTCCATTTCACTCTCGCTCTCTCGCGTTCCGATCACTTTTTTTTTTTTTTTTTTTTTGCACAACGTTACGCAATAATCGAGTTCCATAGTTCTGTTCTTTTTGTGTTTGCAGCGTATGTATTTCGGTTTTGTTTGGGCAATCGCGCAAACACAAATAAATATACACACACACATACATACATACATGCTGATAATAGTTGTTAGAACTGACTGCTAATTGTATTTGTGTCTGTGTGCGTGTGTGTGGCCCTTGGCAACGGGCATTCAATTCGAATTCGAATTCGCACTCGCCTTTGCATTATGACTGGCCCAGTTGCAGCTGCTAACATTTGCATTGCACATATTGCGATATGAGGCCATATGAATATTAATGTGCGAATTCGCAAGTGAAATTGATATAAATCTAAAGCTGCCCAGCGTTTAATGCAAAACAAGCTTTAGGAATACAGTAGCGCCAACCAGTTTATATCGGCCAGCCGTTCTAATGACACACAGCTGATTAACACAGGCACACACACATACACACGAACGGCAACTGTCATCGTCACCGTGTCTGACTACGTCATGCACGCGTGTGCCGGCCACCGACCATCGGCTAGCGGCCAAAGGCCTGTTCGTGAGTCCCGCAATTTGGATTCTGACCATAGAACGTGCACACACGCATAATTTGCGAACGCGCCTTTTTTTTTTTTTTCTATTGTTTACTTTTCTTTTTTGACACGCATCGTAAAACTTCTCCCGCTCTTGTCACGCACGCAATTATTTGTGCGTGCGTTACGCTCTCTCTATCTCTCTCTCCCACTACGTTGATCGCCCGCAACGTGCGTTTGTTTGAAGTCAATGAACTTTTTTGCACAAATTTGCCTCGCTCTCTCTCTTTCCGTCGCTCTCTCGTTCTGTGAGCTAGGCATTTTCTGATGCGTGCGATGCGTGCGAATTTCGTTCGCATTTGCTCGCGACCTATTTCGGTGGCAGCCACCGCTCGTATTTAAAGTGCCGCTATTTTGCATGGCTCCAAAAGCACACTAACGTATCAATGTACTATTTATACTTGCAGAAATGGCGGAAGGCAATGGCGAACTATTAGATGACATTAACCAGAAAGCCGATGACCGTGGCGATGGCGAACGTACAGAGGATTATCCCAAATTGCTGGAATATGGTCTGGACAAGAAGGTACTTAAGAGCTTAATTAATATTTGAGGTATTTTTGTTTCAAATACAATTTGTCTGTCTTTTCAATTAGGTCGCTGGCAAATTGGATGAAATCTACAAAACTGGCAAACTTGCCCACGCCGAGCTGGACGAGCGCGCACTGGACGCGCTCAAGGAGTTTCCCGTTGATGGTGCCTTGAATGTGCTTAGTCAGTTCCTCGAGTCAAATCTGGAGCATGTGTCAAATAAGTCTGCCTACTTGTGTGGGGTTATGAAAACCTATCGCCAAAAGAGTCGCGCCAGCCAACAGGGTGTGCCCGCGACCGCCAGCACCATACAGGTGAAGGGTCCCGACGAAGAGAAGATCAAAAAGATTCTGGAACGCACCGGTTACACGTTGGATGTGACCACAGGTGGGTTAAATATACAATGTCATAATGCCATTCATCGATTGCAATTATAATATCGTCATCGTCTAATGCAGGACAACGCAAATACGGCGGGCCGCCACCCAACTGGGAGGGCAATGTGCCCGGCAATGGCTGCGAGGTGTTCTGTGGTAAAATACCCAAGGATATGTTTGAGGATGAGCTAATACCGTTGTTCGAGAACTGCGGCACCATTTGGGACCTTAGGCTAATGATGGACCCCATGACTGGCACAAATCGTGGTTACGCATTTGTCACATTCACAAATCGCGAGGCGGCCGTTAATGCTGTCCGACAGGTATTTAATCCCACCTTGAGTATATCAGTACATATCCAAATGTTTTCCCACCCCCTCGACCCAACACAACAGCAAGAACACCGTCCGTCCATAAAGCGCTTTGTGTTTCAAACAATATACATATCTATATATACATATATATATTTATCAAAATTTTTGTATAGTAGGTAAAAAGAAAAACGAAAAACGTTTTGGTCCTCAACACAGCCGCTTGACCCAAATTCAACAATTGAAAACTTTTAGTTCTAAGCACAAATTCGTACGATTGAAATTCCAACTACAAGAACAACAACTCCAAAGAAAACAACAACCTGAATTATCCCGATTCGGCGCTTTGAGACAAAACAAACCAAAATGATGAAACTTTATTGTTGCTACTTTAATCGCTATTGTCTATAGTCCTGCCTTCATCTTAATCGCTAACGCTCTTTTATGCTCTGCCTATTCTATATATCTGTAACTTGTTATGTATGCATGTCCTATCTTTATATAGACTATAAACATATATATATACATAATTTTACAACTTAGCACTAGATATCGAAAAAGAACAAATTTGCCAAATTTGAAAAGAGTTCTCTCTGCGATACATAATATTTGAACTGCAAACAACTATGAAACCTCTCTCCCGACTTTTGACTTAAGTTTCTTTAGTTCTTTTTAAATTTTTCTTAACCATTAGTGAATTTGTAGCTCTAGCATATACGAATCGTAGCTTATATATAATGACTTGACTCTCAACTTTGTAGGGGTACGTTTTCATTGTCTGGTTTTATTGAAAACAAAAAAATTATACACAAGCCGAGCATGTCCTCTACTATACTAACAATCCAGAATTCTACAGAGCTTTCATTATAAAAAAGAAACTACAACTAACAAACTTTTTACTAACTAATTTTATAATAATATTTCAAAATGCCGCAACGAAAATGAAAAAATCTCTGCAAAACATTTCGAAATTGGTAATGCAAAATTCTTATACATTAAAAAATATTTAATTTTGATTTGAAAAGCTCCGACCAAACAATGCCCCGAACCAACCAACCAACCAAACCTGACCAACCCCTCCGACCTTTACCCCATTTTGAGTTCTTATACAAAATTATTACTCAGTTATTAAATTATGATTTAAATTTTTATTTATTATAATTAACATTGAATTGGTATTAAAAATCGTTTTACCTTCCCCCCCACAATTTAGCTCGATAATCACGAAATAAAACCCGGCAAGTGTCTGAAAATAAATATAAGCGTACCGAATCTGCGCCTTTTCGTAGGCAATATACCCAAGTCAAAAGGCAAAGATGAAATTTTAGAGGAATTTGGTAAACTTACAGGTAAATTGAAACGAAATTAAAACAGCTATTTAAAATTTTCAACTATGTAGCTTTACGAAAGGTCGCTTCTCTTTCTTTCCCAAAAGCGCCTTTTTCTAAAGCTATACGAACAAATCGGCTTTAAATTGTTAAAACAAAAATCCAATTGGCTCATTAAAACTGAATTGGCTAATTGAACAGGCAGGCATTTCTGTATTGTAGCATAGGTCAGGGTGTAACTTCTCCGCAGGGTATTATCTTTTGATTAATTTAAGTTTTATTGTTTTATCATATCATTTCACATCCAACCATGTCCATTGCCATCCAACCACCACCACCACCACCACCTGCCATTCCATTACCATTACCAACATATGCAGTACAAGTTCATGAATTCAAACAATATTTGAAAAAGCGTCCGAGGCTCTTTTCAAATGCGACCACGACAATAATATCAGATTCCATTATTGATGCACCGAACCAGCAGATCATTCATATATATATATATTTACACACACTTCACTCACTCACCCAATAATACAGCTACAGACACGCCCATAATACGCTTCAATAACGATATAAAAGCATTTCTTTTATACTAAATATATTATCTCCAGTCATTAACTTTGCGTACGAAAACCAAAATGCAAAACGAAACAAAAAAAATGTTTAAAAATTATTCAAAAATTATGCATTGCATATTCTTTTCGTAAATGGTTTTAAGTTGTATACCCTATAACATAGGACTCTAATAGAGGTGTTTATTCTTTTCGAAGGTTGTGATTGTTAGGTCATCTGCAATTGGTGTCAAAATTATTGAATTGTGTATTGTGTATGTTTCCGAAAGGTAAGATTTGACAGCCGAAAACTCGCAACAGATGACTTCTGATGAACAACTCTCGGTAGTGAAACAGCAAATGAATACATGTAAAATCACAGCAAACAAATTATTAGCTAAATCCTAATCGAATACTTTTATAAATTCTTTTTTATTTGGCACGAATAACCAACTAAGAACTTAATCTACAAATTCTTAAGCCTAAGTCTAGATCTTACAAATTTTTTAAGTCATCACGCACATCCTATACACACACACACACACACACACTCACACTGAAACACCCACGAAACAACCATAATTTTTCACCCAGAAACTAAAAAAAAAAAAAAAAACCAAATCGAAATCCCCAAAAAATCGCAGTACCAATGGATACAAATTTTTCATAGCAAATCAAAATTTTCTTTTGTTTTGTGTGAACTTTTGAACAATTGCAGCTAAATGATTTTGAAATTCGGAAAGGCAAAAAGATTGGTGTTACGATATCATTTAACAATCACCGGCTATTTGTCGGCAATATACCTAAAAATAGAGATCGTGACGAATTAATTGAGGAATTTTCTAAACATGCACGTAAGTGATCCAAAACAAAACAAAAACAAAAAACCAAACAAATGAAATCAGCTAAACCACAAAAAAAAAAAAAAATAAAATAAAATAAAAAACCCTCCAACCAAAAACTTTCATACAAATAAATAAAACCCAACCAACACCCCCCAGCGAATTGGTAAAAGTAAGCGTAAGGCATCCAACTTTTTAGGGGCGATACTTGCAGACAGCCAGAATTGAAAATAGCTGCAGCAGCAACAAAGTACTAATTGGATTTTTGTTTTGCAATTTTCGCTTTTAAAAATTCTTCAAAATTTGAATAATCATGCCACACACACAATCCCATTAAAAAGGAAATGCCCAATGAGCCAAACTGTGATACGGTTTAGCTTATTTAACTCTACTATCTCTCCCCCTCTATGTCTCTCTCTCTCTCTATCTATTTTTCTATCTATCTATCTATCTAGCAAATACAACAAAAAATTAATTGTTACACTTTAATTATGATTTGTATTAATTTAATTCCACTAAATGTGCCCGATTTGCTGACATTGAAAACCTGTAGCTAAACAATTTGCCAAAACAAACAAACATTTTTGAATATTTTTGAAAGCATCAGAATCGCGTAAATTTTTGATTTAGAGCAGAAACAACATATAAAATTATTAATCGCGCACACAAACAACCAACCTCCATATTAATTTGGTTAGGCAAATACAAATACAATTCGTATATATAGATCTCTGTTCTGGCCAATCATATAACTATGGTAATGACTGGAGAAAACACTTACTGTAAACGTGTTAATCCCCCACCCCAAACTCATTTTACTCTATCTTTCTCTATCAAACTCTGCAATTCGATGGAAACTCAATTCAAATTCTAAATCAAAATCAATATATATACTATATATAATATATATACGTGTGTTTCTTACTATATCTGTGTCTTTCTCAGTGTATACTATCCTGTTACTGTTTTTGTTTTACCTACAAAAGAAATACTCAAGCTCAGTGTGTGCTCTACAATAACTCCTTATATAAATATATATATCAATTTTAACTTAATTTTTTTTTTGCAACTCGTAAAAAGCAAAAAAAAAAAAAAAAAAAAAAACAGAAGCAACATCAACCAACGGTATTCCAGTTATTTTTTCGTTTTTCTTATAAAAGCCTCTCTAAGTGTGTTCATTTCAAACTACTTATACACTACTGTCTCTCTCTCTCTCTCTCTCTCTCTCTCTCTCTCTCTCTCTGTGTCTATATCTTTCTATATACGTATATGATTATGCGAAAATATACACATCGAATTCGTTTAGCTTAGCGCATTTACTTTTTCAAAAATATTTAAAAACAAAAATCAGCAAAGAATCTGTTGGCATTGGTTTTCAAAATCACCTTTACCGAGTGTAAACGATACGATTAACTTAATATTGAAGAGCTCAGAAATTTGCATTATTTTACCATGCACAGCCTCCGCTTGTCATGTAAAATGTTGTGCATTTCTGTTATTTATTTAATACATTAATTTCAATTTAATTTAAAGTGCGGTTCTTAATGCCATTAATACACCGACACACACACACACACACATTTACATAGATACACTCAGCCATTCACACACACAAAAATACAAATACTTTTTTGTTGTATTTCTCTCTCTCAATCTCTATATATATATTTGTGTGTGTGTGTGTGAAACTAATCTATTCCGTAGTTGTGCATTTAATTAAATGACAATTTGTACTATTCAAAAATCATACTAATAATTACCACATTTTCCTTTATAATCCTTGTAATCCATAACAAAATTCGTAGCTGGCCTCTACGAGGTAATCATCTATAGCTCGCCCGATGACAAGAAAAAGAACCGCGGCTTCTGTTTTCTCGAATACGATTCACACAAGGCGGCTTCATTGGCCAAACGGAGACTTGGCACTGGTAGAATTAAGGTAAGTATTAAAACCGATCCAGGGCGCCGTGTATCCCTTTAAAACCAATAATTATACTCGCAGGTCTGGGGATGTGATATTATAGTCGATTGGGCTGATCCACAGGAGGAGCCGGATGAACAAACAATGTCTAAGGTTAAGGTACTCTACGTGCGAAACCTAACGCAAGACGTTACAGAGGATAAACTGAAGGTTGGTTAAAAATACAATCATCTCAATCTGGGCAAAATTGGAAAGTGTATCTCTTGCAGGAACAATTCGAGCAATATGGCAAAGTGGAACGCGTCAAGAAGATAAAAGACTATGCCTTTATACATTTTGAGGATCGTGATAGCGCCGTCGAAGCTATGCGTGGCCTTAATGGCAAGGAGGTCGGCGCCTCAAATATTGAGGTATGTTCTATAACTGAATACAATTATAAATGAAAATGTATATGTATGTATACATTATACTGCAATATTGTTTAATAGGTCTCACTCGCCAAACCACCATCGGACAAAAAGAAAAAGGAGGAAATACTGCGCGCACGCGAACGACGCATGATGCAAATGATGCAGGCGCGTCCAGGAATCGTTGGGTAAGTTCCACATTGACCCGTTAGGTGTCCACACTCATTTGTATATACATATATATATATGTGTACACGTACACCCAAAATAATCCTTGTCTAGCACAACATGAAATTGGCGCAAAATTCAAAAATCTATTCATTTTAATTACAATTGGCTTCGAGATTTTGGTTCATCTAAAAGAAGTTTAAATGAAATGTTTGCTTTTCAAGTCGCCATTGTCCATTGTATGGAATCCGTTTGTGATTCATTTAATTTATATAATTTTGTATTTTCTTTCTTTTTATTGCCAATTGCGAAATGCCAATCGCCTTGTGATCAAATGGGTGATCCCACTTGTTCGTTGCTTCACTGCCACCCACCACAACACGACAACAACAAAACAAAAAAAACAAAAAATAATAATAATAATGACAATAATAATAACCCCAACCCTTTTAAAATTGGTTGACTTGTAAAGATTTGAAACATTGTCTCCATACAGAAATCTGTCGCCGACACACCCCAGCATGATGTCCATCACACCCGTGCGCCTACCAGGGGCGCGTATGCCCCTCCGCACACCGATGCCCCGTGAATACGGTAAGTTGGGCAAATACGCCAATAAGTGAACCAATCGATTATTCTCATCAAGTATATCAAGAATATCTGAGTGTATACATACTTAACGAGCCCCCGCACATGTGTGTGTGGCTCCCAAATAAGAGAAAACTAGAAAAAAACAGATCGGAAGATCGCAGGAGGAACATTTGACTTTAGATTCGTAGTAATTCGAATACAAACGAGCGTAATCTTTGAGTGTACCTTATTTAATAGGTTATATTTAGTTAAATCTTAGATAAATGTATTTGCTCTACTAAGCCACAGCGAAAAACTAACAACTAAAGTTGTTGAACTAAAACTAGCCAGATACATCTAATTGGCCTGCAGCTTACATCTTTAAGTTATCATATCCAATGCCAATATTTGGTTTTTCATTCAACACCTTTTATCGTTTTTATCGTCTCTCTCATTTTAGTTAGTTATTTTAAGGTTAGAAAGCGCGATGCCCACTAACTTGTACGCTCGTGCCCCTAAATACTTCTACTACTATTCTATACTACTACTTCTACACACACACACACACACACACACACACACACACACACTCTCACACACACAAAATGCCTTAGCACCTACCCGCAGTCTAGTATCCAGCTAGATTGAGACTAACCAATTGATAATTGAGATATTGATTTAACCAATTTGCGCACACACATAACCAAACTTTGATTGAACATAACCTCATTTGTTTTCACTCAGCTATACGTAAATATTTCATATTTGCAAGTTTTGTATGTTAATGCTCTTCCTCTTTCTCTTTCTCTCTGTTCATTTTCATTGTTTGCATGCCTGATTCTTTTCGATGTTGTCATACGTTCATTCCATATATATATATATATACATATATATATTTATTTACTTTTTTCTTTATCTTCGGCTCTCCTTCTCCTACATCTTCAAGATGCTGTACTCTCTGACAACAACAACTATAACTTACTAATACCACTACACATAGTTAGACTTAACCTCTAAACGTTGTTCATAGCTGTGTTTATCATAATTAAACGTTGCCATTGTGTTCTCTGTGTAGCGAATGTTAAGCACCCTGTATACTGTTTGATGTTTTATCACCGGTAAGTAATCCAAGCCATCAATCTACTTATACCAACAACATCTATATTGTATGTGTATGTGTGTCTGCCACGCCCGCCATACCCAACATACCGTCCATCCATCCCATTCAGCGTTCAGAACGCGCCTAATTCGAGTTACAAATTGGTCAAGCGCAGCTAAGACAGGCTCTCTTCTCTCCCCCATTCGATACAAACATACTACGTATACATACATACACGCATTCTCCAATGTCACGGATACACGCCAAACACACACATACAACGCCTCGTAACACACGAATTGTTCCGTAATTAACCTTTAACCGTAATCCTATTCCCACAAATCCACATGTTTTGCGAAATTCTAGACTACGATTATGATTATTTTGGCTATTCAGAATTTCGTCCTGGCTTCGGTGCTGATACGTACTACGATGACGTTTATCGTGCCTATGAAGGCGAATATAGCTATTATGATTATCCGAACGCCGCCAGCGGCAATGGAGCTGCCGGTGGTGGCATCAACGGCGGTGCTGTGGCCATGTCAAACAATTCGGGCGGCGGTTCCATCCCGCTGAGCCCCTCACAGCGCTCATCAAGATCCCAGCAAGGTGGCTCAGCCAATTCGCCAGTGATTATGGTGCGTGTTTTTGTCCTACTTTGCCGCAGACTCGCAGCTACAGTAGTCGCAACAAACAACAGTCACACACGACGCACACAGAAACACAATTGTTGTACTGTACTTCTGTAGAGTTTTTGAAAATACGTAATGTAGTTTGGATGTAATTGGATATTTATTCGGCTTTATTTGACTTCTCGATATCGAGCCGCTGACCCAGCAGCCCTCAGCTCTCAGTGAGGCCGATTGTTTAATTTTGTTTTGATTTTCAGCTTCATTGCCTATTTTGTTGTAAGACGGAAATTAATTAATTTCGACAACTTTTTATTTTCGTTTACAAATGTCAAAATTTGCATGCTCAATGCTGCCAACTGCATAAACACGACCCAACAACAATTTACACCGCGCAGCACAACATCATTCCACACACACAAAACACGATCCACAGCCACTGCACACACCACACCACACCACCACCCACAACAGCTCACAGACCCTAACGACATCTTTTGGCCAATATTTGAGCAATGGAAACAAATTATTATGCTTTAATATGCAACGCTTTGCTTTACGTCCTGGAAACTAACAAATCGAACCACAACTAAATTGTAATTCCCTGCGCTTATTATGCTTTATCTGAAATGTGCTTTACTGCATTTAATGCTTATTTATCGCAATGCTTATTAATTTATATTTTTATGTTAATCATCGTGCTTTTTAAAATTTGTTTAATTCATATAATTAGTTTTAATGCCTTTAGTTAAAAAAAAAAAAAAAAAAAAAAAAACTAAATTAAACAAAAATATGTAGCCTACTTTTAAGAAATGCCCATTGCTTTACTTAACGCTTATTATTTAATATTTTGAATTATGAAAATTTAGTAAAAATTTGAATATTGTGTCCATCGCAAGCAACAGAAAGTCATACAAACAAATTTTGATAGAGCTTAAGCTCGATTCGTTAATAGATACCGAAAATCTTGCGCTGTGATTTGTTGTTATGAATACAATTCCTAAATTATATTTTAGAGGCAGTAAAATTTGCATTTGTTGCTCGATTCGAGCGATACTCAGTACACAGACAATACACCAGAGACAACAACACAAATATTAAAATATATATTAGCATTTTTTCTTATCAATCAAACGTAATTTTCATATACATAATATATTTAATTCATATAAACATTAATAATATATACATACTTTTATTATTGTATGTAAATACAAGAATCTAACGCGTTTATTTCGATTTTTCTTTTCTTTCTTTTCTTTTTATATATGTTCTTGTTATACTCTTATATATACAAAACAAATCATTTGTTTTTCGGTAACAAACAAAATTTGAAAACTTTGCAAACCAAAAAAAAAAAAAAAAAAAAAAAAATTATATATATGTTCGTCAAACTATACAAAATTCCTAAACAAAAATTCTCTACCAAAAACCTAAAAACCTAAAATTAATACAACCAAACAAACAACCAACGACCAAATCAACAAAATTGTTATCAACCCAAAATACCCGCTATTTAATGATTTGCCCAACCGTCTTTCCTCTCTAAAAACTAAATTCGAAATTTGCAACTGCATTCGACGTCAAAATTTTGAATCCAATTGTATTTTATTATAATTTGATATGATCAAAATTCATTATCTTGGCGATCCATATATATTTTATATATATATATATCTTACACTCAATTTATATTATTATAAAAAAAAAAAAAAAATACTGTTAAACTGAAAAAATTCGAACTCCAACCAAAAACAAATCAATCAACGCTCAAAAACCTGGAATATCTGAATATGGAATCATACGGAATGCCCCGCTCTGGAATATGTATAAATATACAAAAACAATTGAAATGAAACACACTCACACACACGCATACGCATACGCAAACACGAACATGCACACTCTGTCTCACACACACACACACACACACACACACACACTACAAACATGCATGCATGCCATTGCAATCAATGATGATAATTAGGGAGCTGGTCGTGGGCATGGAATCACAGTCCCGCGTGGACGAGCCGTTGGCCAGCGTGGCAGCATCAGTCGTCTGGGGGCCCAGCCAGTGCCACAGGCGGCGGCGGCGGTGGCGGCGGTGGGACAGGCGGCGGCGGCGGCTCATCGGGGGGCGGCCACCGTTCAGGGGGCGCCGGCAGCAACCGGGGGGGTCCGTGGGGTGGCACCAATGCGTCCCAGCGCTCCTGGCACCCAGCACGTCAAGCCGCTACAAAATTTACCAGGTGAGCTCAACAACCACAACAAACAAACAAACAAAACCAACCAAACAACAGCAACAACAACAAAAAGACAAACCAAAAAATCCAAAATCCAAAAACATGCTCAAGACGTTCAACGTTCAAATGCAACAACTGCAGCAGCAGCAGCAGTCGCAGCAGCAACAACAACAACCACCAACACGAACACCATCAAACAGCAACAGCAACAATCTCAAATGCATAACAATACAAATTCATATAAATTAATAAGTAAAGCCAAGTAAAATGTTACCACCCAACCCATATAAATACACACACACACACACACATATATATATAAGCACACCTACACACAAACACACACACCACAGACACATTCACACCCGCACACGCACACACAATGATTTTGAGTGGTTTTAACCACCCACGAAGCTTAAAATGGGAGCGTTTCCAGGTTCACTAAATGTCGTGATTTTTTTACCCATAATTTATATCGTTTTTTTTTTTTTCATTTTGCATTTTGTAAATGTGTTTCAATGTTGTAAAACAAAAGCCAGTTGTTAAATATTCTCTTTTTATATATATCTTTTAAATGTCCTATTTATTACATACATCATATATATTTATATTATAAATATATTTTCTTAATGTAGCTTTTTAAACTCTTGCTGCTTTTGGATTTTCGTCACGAAATTTTCATCAGTTTTGTATCATTTAAACAGCGCTAAAATGTATGCTACAGTTTTTGCATGCACTTAGCTTTGACTTGGTCAAAAGCAGCAAGTGGCAACAACACACACACACACACACCGAAACACATACACTACACACGCACATACACACACACACACACACATCTACACAATACACTCACACGCTCTCACGCACATGTATATGGAAAGCCAGTATAACAAATTATATGAATGCATATGTATGTTGAGGTACATATGCTGTGTAAACGTTTATGAATCGATTAGTATTTAAATATTGTCATGCCCGCCCGCCCATCTCCCCCTGTTTTACTACTACTACTACTACTGCCTGCTACTGCTGGTATCAACTGTGTTGTTAGGAGTCAGTGGAGAGTTGAAGATACACCCTTGTCTCCCCCAATGATTGCTCCCCAACATCAAATCCTTTCAATCAAATTGACGTACGTGTATATAATTTTTTTTTTATATATTTTGGTTACACAAAAATAATAATGAAATATTTGATGCGTTGGCACAATATTTTTCTAAATTTTGAGTATAAATCTATGTATGTTTAATAAAGTTTAAGTTCATGCTTTGCTAATCAATAAACAGTTCAAATTCAATATTAGTATCCATATCCTCTATATAATTATATATACATATATGTGTATTTATACCGATCTATAAATAAATAACACAACACATCTATTTACTCACATATAAATGTTTTTATTTGGTTAAATACTTGTATATATAAATATATATATATCTAAATTTTCTGTTGTACAACAAATACTAATCGATTCGTGTATTCTGTTTTAACGATAAACACAACCCAACACATCTTTTTTTTTTTTACATATGCAAAATATAATTTGTTAAACATATTGTATGGCTACATATACATAGCAAGAAAATGCACGCTTTTGCCCCATATCGTTCATTTTAGCCGAGGCAAAAGCGTGGCATACAAACATCTTTAGTTAAACATACTATTTTACACGCTTTACTTATAAACGCCCACATTTTATATTCTCCATCCACATTTGGTAAGCTTAATTTGGTTGTTTTTTTTTTTTTTCTACTTAGAACGGCTTCATTCAATCATATAAATTTATAATATATATATTTGACTCAACACACACACTACACAAAAAAAAATTGTATCAAAAACAAAAAAAAAAAGAGAAAAAAAAACATCTAAAATCTGTTTCTAGCTGGATCTGCACTCAAGACATTCATGGAGGGCAACTAAGCGTAGCTCCTCGGTCGTCAGTTCCGCGCGCAGCGACAAAAGTCGTTCGCCGAGCAAGAAACTGAAGCGTCAGAGCTCCTCAAGTACCAAAATTAAATCACACAAATCCAAGAAGCATTCACGCAAGTCCAAGTCATCTCGAACCGAAAAGAAAAACGAAAAGAGGAGCTCTAACTAAAAAAAAATTATGATAAAATTAATACATACACACACACACACACACACCCCCATCGAAAAGCCTGATTTTAAGAAATCCTTATTTTGAGAAACCAACACGTACACTCAAAATTTCTCATTTTCATTTCCAAAAAGAGATCAGTTCAATTAACATTCAAGAATATCAAATCATGAAGAAAAGGCTAAAGCTAATCCCATAATCAACGCTATATATATATGTACCACAAAATTCCAAATTAGTTTCTAACGAAAAACAGGCGAACAAGACACCAGAGAATTCTTAAGAGATACAGCGCTCCATTTGAAGATTGGAAGAAGAAAAAGAAACCCCAAAACGACTCGATTAACACACATTGTCGTCCTCCCTTAACAAATCCTCACATTTAATTACATGTTGTTTAATAAGCGATAATATCATGTACAATGTTTTATCTACACGTGCACTACTACCCCTCACAAATACACACACGCACATAAATACACTCACTATTAATCGCTTACACTACACACTAGACACCTGCACTCACAAACACACATACAAACAAACACACACATACACACACACACACACACACACACACACACACACACACATACTCACATCTGTGTCATGTTTGTGTAAAAAACCAAGTCCCCGACGTTTATGTCTAATTAATGAGATTTTCTACATTTTGTTGTGTAATTGTATGCAGAAAATATGAGCTACCTAAATAAAAAAAGCAAAAATATGTGTGTGTATTATATTCTATATTTTTAATTTCTTACAAAACAAAAAGTTATAAAAAATAACTAAATATAACAAAACATAAAAATACCCGCAGATCTCCATAGCCCACCCAAAAAAAAAAAAAAAAAAACTCTCTTAAAAATAAACGAAATATTTACCACGAAAACGAACAATAGCAAAAAGAACTGTTCCATTTGTGTAGTATTAACAACCAATTTTAACTCTCTCTTTTTTCTCTTTTTAAATCCGTTCCACACCCACCACACACCACCCACCAAATGCAAAAACAAACAAACACACACGCAAACGCAAACATATACAACAACAACAACAACAACAACAACGCATATGCATTCCTGTTGGCCAACTGCAGTAGTCGGTAAACGTAAGTTCGATGGAGGTCACCAAAATCCGGCAGATGTTAAGCGACGTTACCAGAGCGGTTTAATAGGAAATGGCGGCAGTTGGGGCAGTTTACCGCTACCACAGCAACCTTTAGGCACAAATGGTGAACAGTGGTATATGGATACGTTTTCGGCATGGAGTTAAAAACAACAACAACAACAATGACAGGCAACTACAGTTAATAAAAAACAACAACAACAACACACACTCGGAACTTAGAAGGCACACCAACAACAACAACAAGAACTACTACTACTACTACAGCTACTGCAACGCAGCATACATATATACATATGCATATATGTGTATATATGACTTTTATCTTTTCCAATCTAAAGCAGCGTGTAGCAAATTAAGTCCTATATAAGAAGAGCAATTGGGTGTTATAAAACCCTTTTAATACTTTCGATTAGGTACTGCTTTGCACATCTCTCTCTTTCTCTCTCTAATTCTATCTCTATCTCTATATAAATCAGAAAGAAATAATTATTATATACATTTATATAGCATATCTATAGACTTGCCGCAGCATTTTAGCAAACAACATATTTCGTTCAATTTTTATAATCGCATAATACAAATTCTAAATAATAATTAGAGCATTTTGCTAAAACAAATTTTAAAGGCAACATGAATACAAAACAAAAACATAAAAAAAACGATCGATCCCCTTTTAAAATTCAAAAACTACATACGTTTTTAACTTGAAATGGAAACAATAATTGAGCAAATATAATAAACTGATAAAAGAGAAAAACAAAAAAACGAAACCAGAAAAAGCAAATAATTACATATAAAGTCTATTTATATCAATATAGTGCAGTTAGGCTCATATTGATTTTAAAACTTAAGCAACTTTTTATACATAACGCGTAAACCAAATTGAAAAACAAGAAAAAAAAAAACAAACAAAAAGTAATTAACATTTTACTACTATTTGTATAAAACAGAATCAAGCAGAAAATCGAAAAGGAGAAAAAATTGCACACAATAAATTAAAACGAAAAAAAAAAACACTAAAGATTTCCTTTAATTGTAAATATGAAAAAAAGAAAAGAAATTAAAAAATTACATACATTTAAAGCTCTAAAGAATTGATCAAACGCATAAAATTAATAAAGTAATTCAGAAGCAAAGCTTAATGAAGAAACATTGACTGAAATTATATAAAAAAAAAAAAAAGATAAATGCAAAATGCGAAAATCCATTAAATTCGAAATTAGTCTTGAGATCGAAGTTAAGGAAACTAAAACTTAAAGTTAAAGCGCAGCAGCGATTGGCATTATTATATAATGCCTGTGACTCTGCACGTTGGCAAGACTTTTCGATTAAATTGCAAACTATTTTAGGTAACTTGAAATCAATTAAATACAAAACCCCAATAATGTATGTAGAGCTAAGAAATTGCACAAATTACAAATTAAAAAAAAAAAAAAATTAAAAAGAAACTGAACACGCAAAGCATAAAGATACAGCTCGCTAGCTACAGCTACAGCTACAGAGATACAAACGGCAGTTGAATTGCTGCTATCGAGATGCAACGAATTAGTAAGACAAACTAACACACTTAAACACATACACACACATCACAAGCAGTTAAAAAAAAAGAAGAAAGAATAATAATAAGTAAGAACTATAAATTTTACAAAGGAATAATATTATAGGGAATTTAATAACGGCAAAAATTAAATCTAAATATTAATATATACAAAAATAATAACAATAATAATAATAATTTACGAAATCAATTAGCCTCCCAAAAAAACATATTAAAAGAATTTTCCAAATTTATATTCAGTTTCTTGTTTTATCAACTCTTTAAAAGTTGACATTCTTAGAGTGCTGCAATAAGTTCATAGTAAACCGCAACCGGGTATAGCAACTCCATAATATATATAAGCATTATTTAACTGTAACTCCATGCCTCTTATACAACAACAACAACAAACATCAAAATGAAAACATGAAAAACGAAACAAACAAACAAAAAAAAAAAAAAAAAAAAAAAATTTTATTAAAATTTCGCAAAATTTTAATTTCCGTTTCAATATGTATTTTTTATGAAAATTTTTGCTAGATCTCAAGTAAAGCAAAAACACGTAACTAAAATGTATAAACGATTAAATTAGTTATAATTGAATAACAAGCAAAACTTCCAATTTTAAACTCAAGAACAATTATAATGATGATGATTAAGATGAAAAGTTTTTTAAAGCGTATCTATAAACATTGTTCAGCAAGCGCCTAAAACGGAATATATATGATATTTTAAAATTGAAACACCAATATATACACACACCCACACTCACAAAAACACAGATACAGTTACACATACACAGATAAACAAAAACACCAAGCAGTTGCCTAAAGTTAAACAACAAAAAACTTCTAAACTTGCGCAAAACAAAAACAAATTTGCGACACCAGCAAAGAACTTTAATACATAATAATAATAATAAACATTAGCAAACAACAATAAGAACATTTACTACCAATTCTAAATGACCATAGTTAAGCTTAAATTTAGTGAAACACACACACACTCAACACAACACTCAACACACACACCCACACAGATAAACAAACATACCCTAATATTTAAAAGTACACCCTTTGCAGGAGAGTAAACTGCAGCAGCAGCAGCCGCCGCAGCAAAGTGTGCGCCATTTTCTAACTATATAAAACTAAACGTAAAGAAGCAACAATTAAAAACCATTTCAAAACAAACAAAACCAACCACAAATAATTAACCATTTTATTACTATTTTTTTTTTACCAAGTTTTGTTATGCATTTTTTGTTCTAATTTTCATCAATTGTTGCCTACGAAAAAGTTTTTATTTTTATTATCATTTTTTTTTTAACACACACAAACATAGCAAAAAAAAAAAAAAATTAAAAAACTAAAAAAAAAATAACATACGCCGCGACTTTTTGCATGATGAACATTTTTTCGCTTTTGCCTTAGAAAAGAAAAGCAAACTATGAAGAAATGAAGAAATTTTCGAAAGTTTTGGTGACTTTTTCAAACTGGAGCCCAATTCAAATTGCAAATATATGTATACATATGCTTAATGATAAACGTTTTGTTTAATTTGATACTGTACTGATTTTATATTGTTTTAAATTTGTAATCTAATTTATAAGTCTTAATTGTTAATGTGTTCTAATTGTAAACTACAAAGAAAATTGGCAAAACCTGTTACACAATCCGTTCAAGTTTTCACTTTGGTTAAATGAAGAAGACAAGAAAAAAACAAAACAAAAATGATAAACTAAAATACAATACTCGACTAATTGAAATGATGTGCCGTTGATGCCTTTGCGGTCATATAATTGTTTTCAAATTCTCCCAAACACACCCCCCCTCGTTTTGGAAATGTTAAAAATTGTTCTTTCGAAACTCCTTGCCTTTATATTTGTGTTAAATATGTATTGTAATTTGTAATTTTGTTTAATTTTTTTCGGGAAAGCAAAAACGTTTGGCAAAAATAGTTTTTAATTTGAATATTTAGTTTTGTTTGTGCGCTTAAGTTTTCAATATTATGTTATATAAATAAATATATATGCATAAATATATATATTTCAATAATATAATAAACTATATGAATATTAATTTTTAGCAAAATATTTTTACGCCTAAACTTAAAGCACTAATGTTAAAGAATATTTACCGAACTTATTTGTTTAGCTGTTTAATTGGTTTTAATTTTCAACATTTTTGTCTATTCTGAGGAGGAGAAAGCGCAAGCAAATATTCGATTTTTTTGTTTTGACCCAGCTCTTAATATACTTACTTACATATATCCAACAACAACAACAATAACTGTATACGTGTGTAAATTGAATGGAAACTCTGAAACAAGAATCAAATCACAGAAATAGAAATTTATAACATAAATTTGCAAGCGGCGCATGGAAACTGAAGCAAAAAATATGAAAAATATATTTCAAAATATGTAGAAAACAACAAAACAAAAGAAAATACAACAAAAACTTTACATGAATTGTGATGATGCAAAGGCAAGATTTAATCATAATTACTAAATCTATATATACATACATATATATAAAATATATCTTTCTCTATAAAAACAAATTTATATATATATATATATATATATATATGAGTATATAGTGTATATGTAGATATAGGAGTGTATAATCTAACTTTACTTTTAAACAGACTGCGTACGTATTAAAATTTTTAAAATTAATTTGTGTAAAATGTTTTAAGTTTTTGAAAAATTGGCAAATAAAGAAAACAATAAAAATTAATAAATAAAAAAAAAAAAAAAAAACAAAGCTCTGTTGAATATTGAAATATACCAAACAGTACTCGAGAGTGCAAAAACTTTTTTCCAAATTAATATAATCATTTCTTTTTTCAAATTTTTCAGCAAAACTTTCGTTTTAAATTTTGGTATTTGAGCGTATATTTCAAGATCACACATGAAATTGGCTAAAGCGCAGCTGTTTATAAAGCAGCAGTCTTAGGAGCGACTGTATATAGAGTCGCCGTAGTTTATCAGTTTTATCAGCCTCCAAATACACGATGCAAATTTTACATAGAACTAGAACCGTCAGTTTCCAGTGTCAATTGTTTATACGAATTATATACTATTCTGCAAATCTGGATAATATTTGTTATGACAAACAGTCGAAAATTTATACCATTAGAAGATATCTTAATTTGTTGTCTTATTAGCTGCACATTTACGTGACTTTCTTCTTAACTCTTATTGAACGAATTTTTTTATATGTATACTTTTAGTTTGTGTGTGTTTTCATTTATTATATTTTCAAATAAATTGTAATTTTTTTTTTATAATAATAATTTGATAAAATGAACATCACAACAAATTTGCATACATGTCACACGTATGAGGAACTTATATAAGCCGTGAACGTAACGTCGCCAATTATTATAAAACAAAGAAATGAAAAATGAACATTTGAAGATCATTCAGAAATGTGGGTGGAACAGCGATAGGAAGCAACATCTTTTACGTCATACAAACAATTATTGTTAACGAAGAAAATAAAAGTGAGAAGAATATTGTACTAAAATATTTGATATACATACATTTGTTATTATTTGTAATACAAAAATTAAATAAAATTGCATCCAGATAATAAATAAAAAATAAAGAAAAAAAAAAAATAAACAATGCAAAAATTGCTCTTGATTACTTTACCCATAGAATGCCATCGACTGAGAGTTTATCATCATAACATATTCATTTATGAACTCGTAACTAAGGGAATAATACAAGATTTCTCTTGATGTCAGCATAATAAAATAACATATATATTTGAGTCACGTTTACAAGTTAAAATAATATTTAAAAGCATTTGCTGCGCGAATTCGATTTACTTCGGCTATTGGAGCTGCGTCGCGTGGAGCTATCTACAAAAATACTACTGCCCATATCATCGTTCATAATAGTTTCATCCACGCTGGCATCATCCTCGGGTATTTCTTCATCGCTATTGGTTTCGTTGATAAGTGATCCCCTGGGAGTCACAATTGCATCGCCATGCAGATCCTGATTATCCAAAATACTGATATGAAAGGCGGCATGGCATTTGTTGGCCGCCAACAATGCTTTTATACGAAACACCAGTGTTTCCAGCGTTTCGCGTAGGCTGGGAATGTAGCTAATTATGGCCGTATTCTTTATTGACTTCGAATGGCAGCAGAGATTGTGCAGAAACTTGGTAACGTTCTGAAGGTCATGAAAAAACTTGGTCAGCCGTTCTGGACTATCGCGAACAATCGGCTCAAGCACAGTTACGCCATGTTGCAGGAATAGTTTCAGGAACAATTGCGAATGCTTCAAGAATAATGCGAAATTACGCGGTTGTTCAACATTCTTGACAATATCCAAAAGGCCATTAAGTAGACATATAGCCGACTCCCACAGCTTAAAACGATCACCTTCGGTTTGGCCACTACATTGGGAGTTCAAAGTGCTAATGATAATCTCGCATAGTCCACGAAACAGTAGAGGAAAGTTGGGTCTAGAAAGAGAAGTTGTTAAATTTTTTTATAAAAATAGTCAGTCTACTGCGCTAACTTACTTTTTGATATTGGGGATCGACTGTAGAGCCAAGTCCTTTTTATTGAGAAGCACGCACTCCTCTTTAAGGGAAAGCAATATGTCCTTTTGACGTTCAAATGATAAGTCCTTAAGAAAGCCTTTAATCAGCTCGTCCAGATGTATGTTACATTGCGCACCCTTCTCCAGGCTGCCCGTGTAGTGGTACCATTTACGTCTCAGCATATTGGTGCAATATTTTCCTATAACGACAGCAACAAATTAGAAGAAAAAAGATTATTATTATTAAATGATCATGACTTACGTATATCCTCGGCCTGCTGTTTGCTACGCTGAACTGCATTCTCGCCGGAACAACTCAATTTACGCAAGCTGCGCAGCAAATGCTGCAGCTGCACAGCAGTGCCAAGGACTAGCACCGATTTCTCATATTTGCAGAAGTAATCAAAGATCTGGGATGCAGTGCGTGCTATGGATGGTTTTCTGGCTACCTTCCGCTGACCAGGTGGCATCAGTGAATTTAGTGACACTAATTAAAAAATAATCCATCAGTCACCCCTTATTTATAGTTCTGCTTTACTCACACTCTAGAAGTTGAGATTTGGACTTGTCACTCCACTCACTCCATGAGAAATACAATGCAAACAATTGAATGCACAAGCCAAAACAAGTTTTAACATAATTAAAATGATCCTTGAACAGATCCAAATTGCTGTGGACATTATTAACCTTTTCTACTTCCTGGTCAATGTGCGCTGTCAAGGTGATTAAACGCAGATGAATTTCATCTAGACATTTTTGTAAATCGGACATAAAATGCTCTGGCTTGGCCACATGCGACCTTAACGAATTGACTTCGGCCACGTCTTGGCATCCATTAATAATCGTGTCCAATTTATGCACCAAGTCTGTGAGTATAAAACGCAATTCCAGCAAACCCAAATGCGTGCCCACTTCCTCCTCTTCCAGTGGATAGTTTAGACTGAAAGGTTGCTCTTTCAGCAACACTATTATGCCCACATCAAGCTGTCTAAAGCATTCCATGGGTCCATATAATTGCTCGAAGTTGATTTTACATTTAATGGACTTGCAGGCACCCAACTTGATCGTCAGATCATCCAGTTTTGATTGATCCATACTTTGTGGCTCATCCATGATAGATTCGTTATTAACCTTATTTGCCTTCACCTTGCTAATTGCAGGTCTTTTTTCGCGAGTAACTTGCTGAGCAGCGGTCTGTTTAAGATTGTTGAGGAACTGGCATGGCGGTGGTGCAAAGCCAACAGGAGCATGCGCCAAAAGCGGCTTTAATCGTTGCTCTGTGGAAATCAAATCAGCGAGGCGCTTTAGAACCCGCTTGCGTGTGGCCTCATGCTTTTGGGATGCAAACGCACAGATCGTTACACGCATCCAGTTGATCGTGTGATAGTAAATATGCAATAAATGCTTTTGCGTTTCCTCATCATAATTATCAAAGATGGCCAAATAATTGGGATCATCAAAAAACGTGGGCAGCACAATGGCGCAGCCTTGTAGCGCATTTATCAATTCCAGACTGTACTGGTAGCGCTGATTGTGCAGCACGCTGACCAGGTGAAAAAGTGGCGCTAGAACAAAAATAGAATCACTGGCACTGAAAAAAGCAACAGTTGTAGTGTGCACAGGCGTATTTCTCTGAGTCCCTATGCTTACTTGCTATTTGGACTCAAAACCAATTCGGATATATTAATTCCAATATCTAGCACAGCTGATTCGGTATTAACATTTGTTTCGTCCAATTCATTAATGTTCTTCTGACACTCCAGCCGCAAGCCTCTGCAATAAATGAAAACTTATCATGAAACGATATTGTAATTGGATTTCAATTTCCTACTTGATTGTCTTCGGCTGATGATCATTCACAAAGCTCTGCTGAAAGCGATAGGTCATTAGTTCGCAGAGCCACGTTAGAAACCGATTGTCGAGCATATAAGTAGACTCGGCGTTGTAATAGCGCACAGTTAATACGCTGGCCAGTTCATCGTAAAACAGTGCCAGTAATTCGGGGGAGTTACATATAGCTGACTGGGTGAGCACTGTGTATACAAATTAATATTAATAACTGATTTATATAAACATAATAAAAATGTATTTACTAATCAGGTTAGCCGCCTGCTTGCTACGACCATCAGGCAAAGAAGTGATGCTGTCCACGCTGGTTTGCAAGTCCTCGTTGTTGATAAGCATGGTTTCAATGCGAGCAATCGCATCAATCAGCTGAACGCAACCTATGATGCCCTGCCTTTTCACATATTCCGAGCGATTTATTTGCTGTTTCTTTACCACCATTTCGATTTGGTCCTGTAGTGGGGCACACTCTGGCAATTTGGGATCAGGAAATGCAACATGGCACAGCAAGTCCATGGCGAGGCGTGTTTGTGGCAGTGTCAAATCGCTCAGGCGATCCAGCAAAGGCAGTAACAACATGGCACAGTTCTGCACATGCTTAGCATTATTACGCTGGAGCTCTCGCAGCAATGTCAATGTGGTGGTGACATGCTGTGCCGACTTGTCAAATGTCAGCTCCAGCAGTTTCTTCACTATGCTCTTTTGTATCGAGTTGCAGATCTTAAAGAGTATGCTGTGTGAAACAGACTGAGGATGAGTAATGAATAAGTATGGTGGTTTCAATCAAATTCACCTGTATGCAGCTTTTGCGAAATCGGCTACAATGCGATTCTTTTCTCGCATAAAGTCATGCAGCAAGTGCATCAGTGTGTTAATGTGCTTCTCCAAAATATGCGAATAATTAATTTTTATATCATCCAATATGTTAACTGTGATATGCTCAAGTTTAATGCGTCGGCGCAGCTGCAACAGTACAAAAACAATTTCATTAGAATCGGGTATAAAATATATACTTCGCACTTACTAGATTTTCAATAAATAATGTATTATCCTCGTTGATGTCTATGAGTATTAGTAGCATTATAAAATCAAACGATCTGCAAGTTTTGAAAGAACATTTGAAATGGGTAAAAAGATAAATAATTTATTAAGACTTACTTAAATTCGCTGGCCGCTAAGCCACTAATAGTACGCTGCCACATTTGATAGAAACGCTTGGAACGCTTAAGACCTTGTTGCAGAAAACCAAAGAGTTCTAACTGTGATTGTTTTTCACTGGCTGCAGGAATAGCCAGCTCTTGAGAGTCATCGCCTTGTGATCTATGTCGCCAGTTAAAGATTTCACGCAGTGTGGAGACCAGCTGCTCAGAGAAACAAATTATTAACATCGTGCCAAAGATTAAGGTAAAACAAACGATAGATATATCTATATATGTATATATATTCTATATATTAATTTGTACCTCACGCACAACATCATCGGTATCCTGATTAAGACTATTTAGCAAAAGGCGTATGAGATGCGGTAGAGTCTACAATGAAAGTCATATACATATTTATAAATGATTCACAGTTAACAGAATACAGTGGGAGTGACGTACCACATTCGAGCAGCTGCTGTCGTCCTTGATAAAGTCCAGGATTCTCTCACGTAGTTTTCCTTGAGTCCTTGCGTTTAGCGTCAAATTGCTGAGCATTTGCAGCGTGGTTAAATGGAAAAGATCTTTGCTGCTCGAATAGTTAATGCTGAAATTGAATAGATCCAAGTTAAATGAGCATCCCGTTAATATAATAACAAAACACTCACGTAAGTAACTCCACAAACTCATCGTGTTTACTCGCATCCAAAAGAAACTCTGCGCTGCTTATGATATCCATCTTAGACGACTCTGAGGCGTTATTAAATATGCGTTCAATATGCGTATAAATCTGATCACTATGCGATAGAGTGAGATAACGCAATTGAGCAAGCATCAAGGGCAGCAGCGGAATGCAACCAGGAATCGTTTGCACGCGTTCCAATTTGGCAACCTCTTCGATCCTGTTGAAGAGAACAGACAGGCAGGGCTCCCGTAGAAAGTCAATCATCAGAAAGTTGATAAACATGCTGTTCTGCGATTGATACACCTGTTCTTCACCGGCTGTGTCTATAGTGCATCCACTTAGTAGCTTTTGGGCCAGTTTCGATTTGGGCGCCAGAGCAGCATTTAGCCCTGTCTTGAATGTCTCAATATTTTCCGGATATTTCGGCGACTGCACCAATATATCACGTAGCTTAGAAACAATAGCAATATGGTCACAGGACAGCACAAATGTGTCCGATTGGTCCAGTTGCACACCAGCGTTCATCAGTACCATTTCAAAGAAGCTGTTCGGTTGGCGGGAACTATTTATCCGACCTGAAGACTGTGTGCGTCCCAATGTTGCGGCCAATGCTATACTATGCTGAGACAGAAAACGTTGTGTTTGCTCCTGGGACGCTGGAATGTTTTCCTCTTCACTTTCACAGTTCAGTGTCTCGATTGTCGCATTTGTTTGCTTTGCAGACGAGACTCGCTTTAAAAAAAAAAAAAGTTAGATGATAGAAATTACTTCCTGTTCTCATGCAGAGCATGATCTACGATCACTTACCGGTATTTTTATCGTTGCATTCTCATCAATTGTGTTCAGTCCCGTTAGGGCATTGTTCCGCTTCTTCAATTTTCGGTACATTATGTTTCATTAACTCTAAAAACAGCAGTTTTATTAAATTAATTGATGTAATCTCTTTTAAAATTTAATGCGCCAGGTGACGAACGTGGATATCGATAACAGATATTAGCTTCAATAGCTATGTTTATCGTAAAACATACTCTGTTAACAAAATTTTATTGGTAAGTTAGCGATGGCGCTGTAAGATACCGATATTTTTCGTAATTTAGTATCGAAAAAGTCGTTTATTTGAAAATTTATTTTTACCTCAACGCAGAATACAAAGATCAAAAATATAAAATTTTCAGCATGAATAACTTCATTTTTATTGAGTATATATAAGCATGAGCCATGTTGGTGCTAAAACTATTATTGTTATAATATATTTAATTAAATATTGGGTTACGTGTGATACAAAGCATCTTTGCTAAATATGTATGTATATGATCGTTGAATATAACTCTAAATATAAATTTTCAAACGTGCAAATATTGCAATTAACTACTCGTGAGTTTAATGGAAAAATTCCACATAATACTATAAATATTTAATTATAAACGTGATTGTAAATTTAAAGCCATTTATCTCGAGTTTAACATTAAATTTGCTTAAATTTAAACTTTGAACTTATATATTTAATGGCATTATCTAATTGTCATATTTTAAAAGTGTAATAAACTCACTAATGGTTTAATAATGTATTTTATATGTATTCTAAAAAGGAAGTACAAAATGTTTTTATGTGATTATGTCAGCAATTGACGTATGTATGTTAAGGTTAACTCCTTTGTTCTTAATTAATAGAAAATCACTAATTTGGCTTTGGTTAGTATTGCTAATTAAGTATTGTTTGATGCATCTGATCACATCACTGCAGTCCATTAACGGATTCAACATCTGATTTATGTATCGCTCTACAACTCAATCTCAATCTCCAACTTATCAATTCAAACTGTTGAAGTTGTTCGATGTTTCCAATCAATATTAATATTAAATTATTGCTTTTTCGCCCGACGTCTTTTATAACCAGTCATTTGTTTTAATAATTGCGAGTTCTCATCATCCAGATCCATATTGGGTTCCCAGAGACGAAGTCTTTTTGGTATATATATGAGGCCCAGTAGAGTAATTGCTGTATAATACATAAATATGTTTAATACATGCTTATTTTCTATATATCTACTTACTGTTCAAGACGCAAGGGAAGATTACGTAAAAGTTCAAAGTGCTTGAACGAAAGTAGAGTGCTTCGGTGGCATAGAAGACCATGGTAAGAGCCAAAGAACAACCGCCCATGCTGACAACGCTGTAAAGAGTGAGCGGGACAGAGAATGGGAGTCATTAGCCATGTTTCTGTAGTCCCTCTCATTGTAATCTTATACTTACGGCCTATAGTGTATGTATAGGGTACAGTGCACCAAAGCTATTGCCTTTAGAAGACAGTACATTCCAATTATACGGGAAATGGTATAATCACCTGAAGGATTATAATTTAGTTATGGATATGTTTTCGTACATTACATTGCTCTTACCCTCGATGAATTGTGTATCGCTGTGATCACCTAGGAAACTGCGGCGTTCTATATAGCTTCGGAACGCTGTGCCCAGATCCATAAATGCAACAAACGCAATCCATCCACGAAAGGCATAGAGCAGTCGCTCACGGGGACGGCTACTGGACTGCATTGCAGCCCTGTAAAAGGAAAACAACGAAAAATTAATAAATTTAATTAATTGACAAAAAAAAAAAAATAAATAATAATAATAATTGTATATACATTACAAGGCAGGAAGAGGAAGAAGTTAGCTAAGATTAGCTGTGACTGTGCTTGGAAAACACCAATATTATATTTATCCAGTAACTTATAGCGACGTAGAGATATTATCCCCCTTTATATATATATTGCTGGTGAAGAACAAGAATCCTTTATGTAGTCAGACACGCCTTCTTTTACATGTATACTAAAATAGTTTACTCATTTTCGACGGGTTCAGGGTATAATAACGTGATTATATTTGTACAGAAAATGCCGGCCGGCTTATCTAAACATCACTAAACTAACAAACAACCCCCACGCAGCCCGCTCGCAACGTTTTCAGGTGGCTTCTTGGCAAAATCGATATCACACCCACTCCTATCACATATATTATTTACGAAACTGAAAATATTTACACATGGGCCAATTCAGAGCCACACGCAAGCACGTGCTATGCGCACAGGGGATCCATGCCCCGGGCATGCTTGAGGCTATTTATTTTCAGTCAACAATTGCAACGCCAGGGTCACCCCGAGCAACGGAAATCGTGGCATGCAATTCATAAACTGAAACTAGCCCAAAAGCACTATTTACTTGTACACATTTTTCATATTTGCTTACATTGCAAATGGTTATCTAGGTCGTTCAAATATCTGGGCACACGCGGCAAATAAATATAAATATGCACTTTAAATTATAATTATTATTATTAGGTATAGTATTTAACGATTCCCTTCGGCATTCGTCTCTTTATCAACACATTTTTCTATTTGACGCCTCTCTACTTTGTGCTACTGTTTACCGCGACGCTTCGACGCAGATTGAAAGCTTAAGACCATCAAGGAGCTTTTATGTGTGGTGACAGCTTTCATGCCACTAGCCGGCCGGCTGTTTGTGATTGTACCGTAAGAGGTGCTTGCTGTGTGAACAACTTATTAGATATTCTTAGAGTCAAATTATTGCAAATAATTAAAATCTTGTAATTCCAGTTCCATTTAATTTTTTTTTTTTTTTTTTTAATTTGCTTATGATGTTTCAAATTTTCCTTAATAAGGTTGCATCAGCCCATTGAATAAATTTTACGAGCACTTTTCGAAATCAGAAGTCAATTTTATTATGAAAAAGTAAAAAAATATACATATAATTAACAAACTGCAATAAAAATCTAAAATCTGTGTCAAGTTCTATGGCTCTCTATGTAATTGTTGCACATCTAATCCTTGCCTATTTTCGATTCTGTTTTTCGATATTCAGCATAGTCCACATAGCCATCGTTATTCAAGTCCATGGATTTGAGTACGTAGTCTATGGTATCCTCTAAAGCCTTATCGGTATATACGCTGCCTGTTTTGTGGTCTGGTTCATCCGGCTTTTCAGCAGCAGCTCCCGGTGTAATTGGCTTGTGGGGATCTTCAACTGAAATAAGACAGTAAAAAGCGATTTCATTTTGATAATTTTCCCTCAATCCATTTAACGGATTGTTTGACTAAGTATAATGATTTTATTTTCACTTCATTTTTATTTCCTAAAAACGCAGTACTTACAATGATTTGTATGTCCCTATAAAGTAAATATATATTTATGTATATATTTCGATTTCTAAGATCAATTATTAGTTATATATTCAGAACGCTTGTGTTTTATTATTTTTTTTCTTTTGTACAAAACAAATGTTTACACAATCAGCCTTGATTTGTTTTCGCTGCTTCTAGTTGACGCTTAAAATTAACTTCAGATTGAACGAATAACTAAAATTAGGGGAAGGTTAAACAAAAAACAAATAGTTCAATCGCACTGATCACAAATGAGATTCGTGTGTGCTATTATTCGAAATTTTTGAGAAGTTCTTATTAATCATACAATTTGTTCAAAGAAGTTGCCCGATGGATTGGAATGCTTGTAGCCTGTTCAAAACATTTGCTTGAACTTTTGAATTATTTTACAATTTGAGCTGGAATTGTTTGCGCCTAGATTTCATTTCAATACGTAGTGTGTGTGGGTGTGATTTTGTGTAGTGGCGAAACAGGATTACTATGTGTGCCATGAATTTAGACCAAGACATAACAATGCTGGATTGGATAATGAAAACGGAACCGATCATTCTATATACTAATGAGTGGGTTGCTGTTGTGCCTGCTGCTGTTGTTGCTGTTGTTGATGCTTTTCGGCAGCCTTCTGCTGAGCCTTAATAAACTCGGGATAATCGATGAAGCCATCACGTGATGTGTCATCCATTTGGAGTATGGGATCAATGAGGGCCACTAGTTCTTCGTCTGAGAACACCTTCTCCTCTACATGGGGCTTCTCGCCGTTAGGTTGTTCTTTGCTGCCTTGCTCTGCATATGTTGTTGATTTGAGTTATGAAATATTAAGCCCACATGCGGGATGGTTTTAAATGATTTCGAGCATAACCAAAACCACAACCAGAAGAACCGGAACCAGTCGAAATGTAGTGAAATTTGTTATATGCAAAAAAAGTAAAACAAAAGACATGAGTCAAACATAAGCAAAAATTAAGGCAGACAGGCTTTAACTAACTACAAACATAAAGGATGTAACAATTGGTTCTTACCATGCCAGTGAATTAAAGATTTGATCAGCTCACACCCGTCCAATTTGTTGTTGTTGTCTGAATCGTGCATTTTAAAATAATGGAATTGCAGCTCAGCCTCGGACATTTTGCTCGTATCGATGGGCACCTGCATGTGCTCTTGGATATGACTGTAGTGAGACAACAAATGATAAGATTATTTCCGTATGTAGAACTGATTGATTGCGATTGTTAATCAAGAGATAAGACCTAGCAGACACTTACGCACGCTCTTGCTGAATGTTACCCGTGTTCAAAACCTGCTGTGGCTGTCCATGATGGTGTCCGCCAGCTTGCTGCTGCTGATGATGCTGCACTTGTTGTGGATGTTGTTGTACAGGTGGCTGCATATGCTGCTGCTGTTGATGAACCTGCTGCTGCTGCACTGGCACCTGCTGATATTGCACTTGTTGTGGCTGCTGCTGCACGGGCACCTGCTAATATGTTGATTTATTAGTTGCTTTCAAATACAAACTCATACTTGTGAATCACTTACATATTGCTGCGGAGGCACACCGGGCGCTCCATGTTGCTGGTATTGTGGCGGCGGTTGTTGGTGCTGTTGCGGCACTTGGTGGGGCACCTGCTGCTATTGGTCATGATAAAAAGACGTAAGCCAGTTAGACATTAGCTGCCAGCTGGTTGCACAATATAACAAAATGCAACATATATTACTACTCACATAATGCTGGGGATTTACGCCGGGTGCCACACGTTGGGCACTGCTATACCCAACGAGGGCAAGCAGCATGGCTGCTATTACAAAGTCCGATAGATGCATTTGTGTGGAAGCGCTAGTGTTATTTGCGAGGAATTCGAATTTGGTGGCACGCACAATCACCACGTAGCTAGCTAGCTATCAAAACACACACGTACACAAATTTATTCTGCTTCTTCACCTTTTGTCAGTAGCACGGCGCGACAGCTGTTGCACAGGTATACGAGCTATCGACTTCGCTATCGGCCACTTTTGGCATGGTGGCAACGCTCTAAACTTTGTCCACAACCTGTTTGAGTTTTCTTTACTATTTATTTACTATCTATTTTTTTCGCGTAAATTGCTAAAATAACAATAATATAATGGTAAAGTATATACAAAATTGCCAATGGATGTGATTTTTGTAAATCTTGTAATTGAAATTGTCTAATATACCCAATGTGAAAATTATGAAACTACTTTCCACTTGACTGGTTGTCCCCATTTCCCATTTTAATATTTATGCTAATTACTTTCTGAATTTACTTTCTTTCATACATAGGCTCGCTACTTTAAAGAACAGGACATCGATGGTAAGTATTAGTAAATGTGAAAAATTTAGCAAGCATGAGCTCATACCTATAATACTCTTATCTATATTTTTTTCCACTCAGAATTCCGTGAGTGTTTTTATCTATTTGCTCGTTCGGGCCAAATTAACAACTTAGACGAGTTAACGGTAAATATTAGTCACTTAATCCAAAGAGAAACCACTATAAAACTAGTTTATTCAACAGGTGATTATGCGCTCTTTGGGTTTGTCGCCCACTATTCAAGAATTGGTGTCGTATCTAAAGCAAAAGAATGGTAAAATGAGCTTCGCAGATTTCCTGGATATCATGCACCAGCACTCCTCAGTGGAAAATCTTCCAGGCGAAGTGATTGCCGCATTCAAAGCAGCTGATCCACAAAACAAGGGCACCATATCGGCAAGGCAGCTACGCAATTTGCTACAAAACTGGGGAGAAGGTTTGTCCGTGCGTGAGGTGGATAATATCTTCAGGGAAGCTAATGTTAATAATCACAGCACCGTACGTTATGCTGACTTTGTTAAAATAGCATGTGCACCAGTGCCGGACTATTATTAGCCCAAGACACATCCATACTTCACATTCCAGTAATTATTTAAAACATGCATGCAAAACGCAATAAAGTTCACAATCACTTTTATGGAGTTTGTTGTTTTTTTTTTTTATTAAAATACGAAACTTTTCGTAATGGTATGAGAAAAGTTCGTTAGCCGATTTTAATTGGCAATGGTAACCTCAACCTCTACTCCGGGCTCAATGTTGATGGAGGTGATCTTCTTCACGATCTCAGATGGCGAATGCAAATCGATGATACGCTTGTGGATTCTCATCTATAATGCGAGCGAGAAGAAAATAAATTAATTATTCAATGAATTTGTATACCTATGTCAATTATGAATTTAATTGTATTGTCGAATTCGGAGAGCCAAATTGTGTGGGGTACCAGCAAAATGGACTATGAGAATACGTTTACTCTGGGCAAATCGGTGATACTGTACAATGGCAGATTGTGCCAAACCACGATATCTGATCTGCCCACAAAAGCAGAATCCAGGGATGAACTGATAACTCACCTGGAAACGATCCCAGGTCTTGGAACCCTCACCACAAGGAGTCTTACGGGTGGTAATGCGTAGGGTCTTGGTCGGCATGCGCACTGGGCCCTGTAATTCAAAAAATTTATAATTAATTAACGATTCATATTTTTCATTGATTTGCGTTTGTTGCATAAATCATATAAAATCTTTACACTAATTGTTTCAGTGTGAAAATAATGTCCAATTTATGCATTTGATCTGGCATTTATTAATGACTAGGCTAAGCGGCAAGCAGGCGCAGGAAGCCTCCAGGTAAATGCGGTGAAGATACAGAAATGCACATATGTATGTATGTACATTTATACGCATATGCAGCTATGCTTTAGCAGCGCACGCGGCAAGCATTCTTCCTCTTACCTTGACACGCAGATTCTGGTTCTTAGCACCGTTGATCAAGTCGCGGCATACGTTCTCCAAGGAGCGAACGTTCCTTGAGGTCAGAGTGATACGAATGCGGTGCACGGATGTAGAATCGCCGCCATGGGGCTTCTCAATATCCTTAGGAGCAGCAGCCTACAAATGTAGGGAAGCAAGTATTATTTTGAGGTTATGTTACATACGGAATCATAACACGTGTACGAATTTTATTCAGAAAAGCGTTGCTAAAAACGCAATAATACACAATTCTATACTACATAAATATTATTTATTTAATACTTACCATTATATTAGCAATTTATCTGGTCGAGATAGTCAAATCTTTATATTTTGAGCAGCGCTGAACCAGTTAACTTGCTGGTTGAAAACGAAATGGGAAGAGTGCCACTCACGACGGAACGCGCATCAGCTTTGTTCAGCGTTGCCACTCAGTCAAATGCATATGTGGCAGCACAAATAAAATACGCGCCATTCCCAT